TTTGTTTTTTTTTTAAGTGGCCATTTAATCCACTGATATAAAATCAACCTGCCAGGGGACTCTGAGTAGCCTGTTTTATTACTGGACAGATTGTAATTTCAAAAAGATACGCTTTGTTCTCTAAAGACTGTTTTAAGGGATCAGGACATTTTATTTCTTACAATTTTTATAGCAAGTGATCAGATACTAGTTAAAATGTTTTATAATGGCTAACTCAATTTTACTTTGGTGCAGATACTAAATTTGCATCTGATCTCCTTTGTGTCTGATACTTTCTTTTTCATGTTGGATTCTTATGTTTCACTTGAAGTTTACTTTAAATATCAAATAAAGAATATCTCTACTATATTGATCAATTATCCACTATAACTCAGCTTGCATTGATCTTTGGTGAATTCAGATGAACACTGAGATAGCAAGTCATGGAGGTGAATGCACTAATATGTAAATTGGTAAGAGATGTGATTTCTTGGCTCATTTTGCATATCGGGAATGGAAGGAACTAGTGAGCTATAGCCCCAACACTTGACTCTGCATATGAAAACATTCATTGTTTATGGACGGTGTCTGGTGACACAAAAGAGTTATTCAGTTGCTATTAAAGTTAATATGGGAATATAATTTTTAAGAGATGATACCAAGAATAACAATCTATTGGACTGTTTTGGGTTGGTTTTGCAAACTGTGTGTCTGGATGATGAGCCATTTCAACTATTTAAGCAGTAACACTCATGTAGTGAACTGTAAGAAAACAGTCCTAAAGGTTAAGATTCGAAAGAAGTTAATCAAAATTAAACTTGCCAATGTAGATAGTGAGTAGAATCCAGCAAAGTCTGGGAAAACTAATCAGGATAAGACTTCCTTCTCAGGGGAGTTTTTCAAAGGGGAGGAGGCCACTGTCCCTCCTTGTGTTAGCCAGTCTGGGTAGGAACCTGCTGCTGTGTGTCTTCTCTTTCTCCCATATGTTCTTCCAGTACTGTTCAGGTTTTGCTGTTGGTGGCTCTGATGTTATTGTGTTGTTGCACTGCAATTGGGAGTATACTTTGGATGGTTCTTTGGAGAACAGAGCATTTATCCTCTTGGCCTCTGCTAGTGTATCTCCTTAGCAATCTCTAGAGCTTCAGATGAAGTCAGGTCCTTGTATTTTTTCAGTACCTGAGTCTTATCTTTAATCTCCAGACCCTTCTATAGTTCCACCAGCTGACTAACTTCTCTCTGAGTTGCCTTGATCTTAGTCTCCAACCTCATTTTCCAGTGGGATATGTACTGCTGTTCTTATTGAACATGTAGCCAAGAATCTCCAGGATTACAGTGGCTGTAACATATACCTGTTCATTGGTTTGAGTTATGGGTAGTAAAGATTGTTGTGAGGGCTCTATTAGCATCTTCCAGCATACTATCTGATGGTACTTCTCCACTGAGCCTTGGTAATCGGTCTTGAGGGTTGACTGTAGCTAGTTTATCCATGATCTTATGCCTCATATTAGCTGTTGTGCTCTATAATGGAGGGGGTGGCAGTGATGTTCCAGCTTCAGGTGCTGGCTGCACATCCAGTTGTTCTTCCAGGTCTTCTTGAGTCTGGAATGTAATGTGTAGTTGATTTATCTCAAGTTGTGAGAGCAGCTTCCTCTTCACTATTTTGAAGTGTTGGGTAACTAGCTGTTTCTCAGCTAGTGTGGATGTAGGTCTTCTGTCCATCCATAGTTTCCTTATATATTTCATATATCCCCTCTCATTAGGTCTAATGTTGTAGTAGCATTCCATCAATTCCAAGTTTTCTTGTCTCGTCCATGTATGGTTTGTTCCAGTAGCCCACTTATCATCAGATTGTCCTGGTTCTCCAACATCTGTCATGGACCTTGTTAATCCAGGCGACATCTGAGCCAGCACGACTTTCTTAGTTCATGTCACTCTCATATCCGAGGTAGGCAGGTGAAGCATTAAGGAGTCTTTCCCAAGAACCCTACTGGTAAGGTAGGTACCAGCTGGGATTCAAACCCCAGTCTTCTGTATCAAAGGGTGGCACTCTAACCACTACACTGTCCAGCTGCTCTTATCAAATATGCCTTGACATATATGTGTGTGTGTGTGTGTGTGTGTGTGTGTGTATTCATATTCATCCTGGAAGATTAGTTTTGAGTTAAGAAGCAGGACTTATGGTACTTTCCTTTTTCCAGTTCCCTTCAGTTTTTAATTAGCTCTTGCACCATAATGTACATAATAGACAACTTGTATCCGTTTCTTAAATTAGTAGATTCATTTTTGTTAGAAATTTTAGCCAACCCCATACCCCAACCATTCCGCCATTATAGAATGGCAACAAACTAAGAGACAAGAAATCCCACTCACCACCTCTTAAGAGAAAGGTGCAGGGAGGAGGTTCCTCATCCTTCCCCCCCCCCCCCCCCTTTAAGGGAAGGGTGCGGGGGGGGGTTCCCCCACCCTCCCCCCCCCCCCCCCTTTAAGGGAAGGGTGCGGGGGGGGGTTCCCCCACCCTCCCCCCCCCCCCCCCTTTAAGGGAAGGGTGCGGGGGGGGGTTCCCCCACCCTCCCCCCCCCCCCCCCTTTAAGGGAAGGGTGCGGGGGGGGGTTCCCCCACCCTCCCCCCCCCCCCCCCTTTAAGGGAAGGGTGCGGGGGGGGGTTCCCCCACCCTCCCCCCCCCCCCCCCTTTAAGAAAAGGGGGCGGGGGGGGGGTCCCCCCCCCTCCCCCCCCCCCCCACTAAAAGTGATTGTGAAGCGAGCAGACAGATTCTTCCATAGATTGTGGGAAGTTGCAACAGTAAAGATTTAGGGACAGTAAAGGTTTAGGGACTTTTGCTTGAGGAGGCAGAGGTGCTATTCCTGTCCACATGTATGTAAATATACAGACTGTTACAGCTCGGAACTGAGTATTGAAAATGAAGGAGCAAATGAAATATGCAGCAACTGTTTTAGTTTGAAGTGGTTTTGATAAGTGTTCCAAATAGACCATTCTGTTTGCCTGTTTTCCATCTGCTAAGATTTAGTCAGTATTCTGGTCACACCAAACAAACCCTCTTGTGTTTCCTGAAGTGTTGTCAGTGTATTTTTGTACCTCTGCACACCTTGGGATTCAATTTTGGATGGTGCCATTTTATCAATCATTGGCTGTCAGAAAATTGGAATCTTTATTAGTTAATATGAGCATTAAAAAAATAAATTTCATGTGAGAAAAATGCCCTCCCCAATGCACAATGTTTGTACTAATCAAAACAACTCATATATATTCATATTCCTTTTGCACAGTGATTAACACTTGTCACTGCTTAACTCTAGGGAAAACTGGAAATTAAACATAAACTTGTGTTTTCTTTTAGCTTCTCTTGTGAGTATGTTCCTTTTGTGTTTTAGCCTTTCAGCTTACTTTCAGCAGATATTAGCTACTTGCTGGTAAATCTCCTTGGCAATTACACCATCTTATATTACCTGTATGTGTCCCTTCTAACTCTTTGCTCAATCATAAGCTTCCATATGCATCCAGAGTGGTTTTGTGCAGACACTCCTAACTGCCACTTGCTCCTTGAGCCAGAGCCATGAATCCAGGAGGACCCCAGGATCGAGCATCAGTTCTGACTAGGGCAGCACAGCCCCATCCAGAATTAGAGATGGAAAATCTCTGGGGCTTGGGTGGTTCAAAATCTCGGAGACACTTGGTTTTGCTAGGGTTAAGCCTGAGCCTATTTCTCCTCATGTAGACCCCCCACAACCTGAGACAGAACATTAAGAGCAATGAGGCTGAGATGTATAGGAGGGTATCATCAGTATATTGATGATACCTATCTTGATATTGCTGGATGACTTTACCCAGTGGCTTCATGTAGATGTTAAATAGAGGGGAGAGTGTTGAGCCCTGTGACACCACACAGAGTAAAAGCCTAGAGCTAGGTCTGTTTCCCGCCCTCCAAATTGACTGGAACTAGCTCTGAAGAAAGGAGGAGAACCACTGCAACTTCATGCCTCCTATTTCTACTCTAGTGTAGTATCATGAACCTCAAAATGATGTGGTTACTTCCTTACAAAGTTTCTCCTGCTTTACTTCTTCAGACAGCTCATCACTATTGATTAGGATAGATCTGAGAGATCTAATCCCTTTGTCTCTTCTTCAACCTTCTGGAAAATGAAATAGTAGGCAAGACTCCTGGGGAATTTTAGGGTTCTTACAATTTCAGCTCAGTTATCCAGTTTTCCAGCAGATCTCCAAGTAGCTGAAATCTCCCATTATTACTATGCCTCTCTTCCCTGGTGCAGGAGGGGATTATCCAATCTTCTGTCTGGGTTAGCAATCTACAGCACTTCCAAATAATATCTTTGTAATTTTCCCCTTTCTTGTATTCTCAACCAAATGCTTTCTTTTGGACCTTATGCTCAAATTCCTGGATCTCAATAAAGGCATGCACTTCATTCACATATAATTCCACTGCTCCTCCTTTGAATGGCCTCTTTCTTCTGAATAAGTTACTGTATACTGTTCAGTCTTTGTATTCTGCTCCCAAGTTTAATCTACCAAGTTTCAGAATACTACAAAAAGACCATCTCCTCTTGGAGAGTTCTATAAATGTGTTGTTTTTCCCATTTAAACTTGTTGCCTTGGCACTGGTGGAAAAGTGGCAAGGATAACTTCCCAGAAAGATGCAAAATGGTGAAGAAATAATTAGAAAAATGAAAGTAAAATATATGTAGTTTTATTTAATAAAATACATTAAGTTTTTAAAAAGAAAAAAAATCAGGATTACAGATTGGGAATGTTTTGACAAAATATGAAAAACATTTTATTTTTTAATAGGTATTGTCCTTTCTTGTGCAAAACTATTCAAAAGTACTAATGTTATCAGATAAAAACAGAGATAAGGAAGCCATCTTCATTCATGCTTGATGATTAATTTGGGTAAAATCAAAATTTTATCTAGCAGTGACTGTTTCATCTGCTAAGAATCTCTGGTTTATTTTCTGTTAGACTATTTCTTCCTCTGTTTCTTTCCTAGGATAAAAAAGATAAAGTTTCCAGGTTTGATACTATTCGACATTCCATTGCTGGAATGATAAGATCTCCAAAGTCTGTGTTAGGTTCTTCATCGGTAAGTGGGCAGGTAATGTATTCTTATGTCTTTATTAAGAAAATATTTTGCTTTCACTATTTTTCTGCATAATTTTCTGATATTTGCTGCAGGATGATTTGATTCATGTTTATAATGCTTCCTATATTGAGAATGGTATTTCTAGCAATCTGCAGTAGATGAAACTCACTGTTAAAGAATTCAGACATTTGAACTTCCAACATATAGGTGCACGCTCACTCATTTAATAGTCTGGATTAAACCTATGTAAATTGATTGATTTTATTGTGGTCAAGGAAGTCATCAAAGTCCAGGTATAATAATAATTTTAAAAATTGTCTATCCCAGGAAAGGAGTCTATAGTTACCTAGGGTCAAGCTTTCAACCTAATTGCAAGCATCAAAATGCAAAGGTACACCTGGGTTAAAACAGCATTAAAAACAAACATGATGATGAGATATCAGAAAAGTCATACCATACACATTTATTGGTCCATTTGGTGCTTTTAGTAATTGATCTGTTTGTCATGTTTGTACCACTGCCTTATTTGACTGTTAACTCTTCTAAATTAATGAAACCTGTGGTTTCATCATAGTTTTCAGTTAAAAAAAAATCATGCAGATATAGGTTACACCATCATTTTCCAATCTCAGCCTTTAGATTTTTTTTTAGTTTTTTTTTTATCCTGTCTCTATTATTTTTATAAATAACTCAAGGTGGTGAACATTCCTAACACTCCTTCCTCTCCTGTTTTCCCCACAACAACCCTATGAGGTGAGTTGGGCTGAGAGAGGGTGACTGGCCCAAAGTTACCCAGCTGGCTTTCATGCCTAAGGCGGGACTAGAATTCACAGTCTCCTGCTTTCTAGCCTGGTACCTTAACCACTATACCAAACTGGCTCTCAGTCATTTATTTGTCATATCTCCTCACTTATTGTTAAATAATTGACTTACCTAGATATGATATATTATAGACAAATGTGAATGGGAGCAGCTTGTTCTCAGACAGCTTATTTTAATATTAACTCATGTTGTGACCAAAACCTGGCTCACCTAAAGAACCAAATCACTTTGAAGATGCAACGTAAATTTATTAAGCATGCAAACAACAACAGTGTACACTGGGCTCACAGCAAAACCTTGGCAGTTTTCTGAGCATCCCTGAGCAAAAGCAGAACCACAGTTTATATACCTTTGGCCTACAAGACAAAGATAAAGGCAGAGGCAGAATAAAGTACAGCATGATGTTGGAATGTTTTTGATAAACCCATCTGGGTGCCCTTCTTTTTATTCCTTTCTACTAGGTCAGCATGTTAGCTATACTATCTTTGAGATATGTCCATATAGGAATATAAACAATGTGGTTTACTGGGCTACTGGTTCCTGTCTGATTCCTCCCACGTCACCTAATTCAGGTTGCTGCAAATGTTTTCTTACAAGGGAACTTTCAGCAGTTCACATGTATTGGGGGTGGGGTGTACCTCATAGAACTGATAATGAATGTAGCTCACATGTGCATGGAGGTACCTTTTACCACCATACTCACTACAGCATAAGTATATAATCCAGGACTACCAGCAAATCAGTAATTCATGTGCATATAGGCAAGGACAGACTGGGACAACCTTTCAAAGGATGTGCTTGCTTCAGTGCTTTGAGAAGGGAGGTTTCCCTGTGCTAACATTCTGAGGAGTTCCTCTTTTGAATATTTTGCACAGCCCTATTAATAAATGCATTTACAACTCTCTCAAAATCATGCATTATCCCCTATTGTATTTTAAATGAAAATATAATCCATACAGTAAAATCTATATTTAGAGTTTTTGTGTGTGCCTTCAAGTCTTTCTTGACTCCTGGGAACTTCCTGGACAAGTCCATGCAGTCTTCTTGAAACATTTTTGGAAAGGGTTTGCCATTGCCAACTTTCTAGGGCTGCAAAAGGTGACTGACCCAAAGTCACCCAGCTGGTTTCATGCCTAAGGCAGGATTAGATCTCACTCACAGTCTTCCAGTTTTAGCCCAGTATCTTTAATCACTACACTAAATTGACTCTCATATTTAGAATTATATTAATCTTTCTTTTTCATATTTTTCCTAAGTTTTTTGATGTAATATCAGCCAGTGAAAAACCACTGGCAGAACAAGATTGGTATCATGGTGCAATCCCAAGAATAGAAGCTCAAGAGCTATTAAAACAGCAAGGAGACTTTTTGGTGCGAGAGAGTCATGGGAAGCCTGGTGAATACGTCCTTTCTGTGTTTTCAGATGGGCAACGGAGACACTTTATCATTCAGTATGCTGATGTAAGTTTGACACTGATTTTTTAAAGTGATTGAAGTGTACTTGCTTTTCAATAGCTACATAATTAGATTTAAATTATAGTTAGATAGCTAAATAATTATGCACAACTTGTATACTATGTTACATACTTGCCTCTTAAAGCTAAGAAATCATTATCTACTTCTGTAAGAGCCACAGGTACTATTCAGTGCATTTGATTCAGAATTCGATAGTTTTCAATAGAGATCTATCAACCTTTGAACAATCTTGGACATAGGAATGTTCTTTACTCTCTTGTTAATTTCTAATTAGAGATCTTTAGAATTGTGTGATTGCCATTTTTATCCTGAAATGCACTGATCTAATTTTTCAGAGGGGAGGTAGTTCATTATTTTTCCAGAAGTGGTTCTTCCAATGATTCCTGAATTCCATGTCTAGAACCTTGTGTAGCACTTTCTGAAAATGATGATGAACCCCCAAAATAGGCAAACTGACATGTTACGATTGCAAAGCATCACTGTGCAATAAGAGTACTGCAATGCATTCTACAAGAGGCTGCCTTTCAAGACCATTCAGAAACTGCAGTTGGTGCAAAATGCAACTTCCCAGTAACTGCTGGGTGTTACCTCCAAGAGTACCTGTGCTTCAGGCTCTAGAGTGGTTGCCTGTAGGTTTTGTGAATGGAATTCAAAGTGCTGATTTTGGCCTGTAAAGCCTTTGTGGTTTGGTGCCTTGGTACTACCAGGGCTACCTCTTTCTATTTGAATTGACCAAACTAGTATGTTCATGCCAGAAGAAACTCTTGATTGTACCCCCCTTCCAAAGAAAGTGAGGGCAACCGAAGCCAGGAGGCACTACTTTTGTATTCACTACTTCAGAATGGAACTCTTCTAGACAGCATTTGGTTTCTTTGTTGTCACCATCTTCAGTAGTGGTAGTAGTAGTAGCAGCAGATATATGTATTACTGTTAATTGGTTGAGTTTGCTTTCTTTATATTTTATGTTCTAAGTTTTTATGAGTTTATATTTTTACTGTAGACTTTTAAATTGTTGATTATATATTATGAATGTTTTACTGTTGGTGTTGTAAACTGCAATGAGCCTGTAGTTGACTACACATTATATAAATGGAATGAATGAAAGAATAAATATAAAGCAGAATGTTCTCAGGAACACTGGCATGTTCTGTTTCCAGACTGCAGAGTTTTGCACAAGCTGTGCCTGTTGTTCAGAGGTATACTACTAGTAAAAGGGAGGATGGGGGAAGTTAATTATTCAAACAAGCTCCTTCTCCTAAAAAAATAAATCTTGAGAATGCAGTAGGAGGATACCTAAGTTGCTCCATTTTGCACCTTAATGCTGATTTTAGATACATGCATGTCCTAATATGGCCAGCCAACTTTTCATAAAACTATAGTAGACACACAATAGGTATATTCACCATTGGTTCACTGAATTGTGGAATAAGTATTTCTAATTTGGGGAACGATTAGTTCACATTTTTACACAAGCATGTTAGTGGAAATAAATCACTCAAACAAGCATTTAAATTCAAAAAACTGCACAGAGGTAAAAAAACATTTCATAAAAGACTAAACAGGAAAGATTAAAAAGATGAAGAGTGGGAAATAATGTTTGCTGAATAAAGTATGGATGGAGATTTTATGAAATTATGGGATTGTATTAATATTGGCTTCGTAGACAAATCTGTCCCATCATAAAAATAGTAGGCCATGGGAAAAAGTATAATAGTTTAAACAGAAAAAAAGAAAAAATCAGTGCAAGAGTAGTTAAAATTATTTCTTCCAGAGAAAGAGGAAATACTGAGGGGATTTATTTTTGGGATTGTCATGTGAAGATAAAAAGGTGCAGTATGAATATCTAAAAATATATAGATACATATTTTTGGAAATAATGTTTTAAAGCTCTTAAAGACCAACTAGAAGAGGATAATAGAGCTGGTAAAGAATTAAGAATCTACAGCGTACTTTTTAAAAGATTGGAAGAAGTTATTTGTTTATACTTTGTTCCTGGAAAAACAAGGTTTTAATTTTCATTACTGATTGTAAATATGGAGATGATTGTATTTAATTCAAATTAAGGGCCAAATAAAATATTACAGCAAGAAGTGCAAAATCACATCTCCCTGTTTTTAAAAGTTAAATAGTGATATGGTATAAGGATACAATTTCAAACTACTATGGAAGTAGGAAGTGGGGGCGGGATTCATATAAAGAAATACCATATTGTTGTTTTACCTTCTGGAAAATTGTATAAAAGGAAATGTAAACCTACCCTCTAAAGAATACCACAGTCTCTGTCTGAATCAAATGCTATTCAAATACTTTCAAAGCTACAGAAGTCCTCCAAATGTAACTCCTAATTGTAAAACAGCATTACAAGACTTGTAATTAGACATATAACTAGATACGTTTTGATTTCATGTATTAATCCTGGAGGAAACCATAGCAATTAAAAATGTAAATATGATGCTGAACCATACTATTAACAAGTTAATATTGACTTTTTATTATGAACTCTGGCCCTATTGAGCTTGGGGTTAGGCAAAGGGAATTATCCCTCCGAGTTGGAAAGAAATCTGCAATCCAGATATTAAAGAGTAAATTTGATCTACTATTGTGTTCTCTATCGATTTGTAAAATGTCTTTATATGGTAAAAATTAAAAGCTAGAGCAATATGTTTCTATACAGTCAAGATTTAACAACATGCTAGATCTCTCTTTTTTCTTTTCTGTTTTGAATTTTAGTTCATTTTACTCAAACTATGTATATTTTTTTACTCTGATCATATTATTAGTATTGCATTGTTTTTATCTTTCTTAAATTTCAATATAACAAAAATAATTTTAAAAACCAACACTACCAAGACTAGTAACAACAAACCCTCTCCCTATTTGAATTGAAGAATTGAAATGATTTTTAAAAAATTGAGACAGGCTTATTCTAAATGTTGTGATCTTTAAAGCAATAAGACTAGATGTTCCCTTTCAACATTTTCTAGCTCTGCAATGAAAGCAGATATTAATAGGGCTAAATAAAGATTGTTAATCTCCTGTGGCTTGAAAACCTCTGAAGTATACTACAAGATATATTTAGCAATCTGAAGTTTTATAGTGTAATGATTATTGTATAATCAGCTTATATTTGGGGTGTCTAGTGAAGCTTTTTTAAAACCTGTGCTCAGGCATTATCTCAAAAGACTTCATCAGCATTTGTGTGAGCCATTGTTAGTATTTGTACGGCAACAGCAGTTAAAAACAATTGTATATGATCAGAATCACTGCAGAAAAGCAAATTATACATATATAATATTTTTCTGTTTGAGCTCCACGTTGTTTTTTATAACTTAATATTGCAGAACAAGACTTATGAAAGTGATCAAGTTTTGATTTCAGTGGGAAGAAAAGCCCCGCTATTTACTTTGATCATCCCGTTTCCTATGATTCATCACTATGTGTTTCAGAGGGATATTAGACTGTTTAAAAGCTCACTAGCTATTTTTCCATGATTATATTCTCTTTTTGCTGAATTCCATATATGAAAAATATCCATTTATATCCTGTTGAAATAGTTCAGGGATAAACGAGATATATTTCAGATACTTTCAAAAGGAGAGATTTATTTTGCCTTGTTTTTAAAAACAATATTAGAAAATAGGTCCAACAATAGTTACTGTACCATTCTAATTTTTATTCCATGGCTTAGGACAAAGGTATATATTCCGTTGTGAAATATTTTCTTTGTTAAATCTGGAAGCATTTCAGGGCATATGCTGAACATTGCCACTGAGGACAGTTTAGCACTTTTCTGTTCATAAGATATAATATTTAATTCAATTTACTCAAAAATTGAAGTTCTGTTCCATTAATTTATAATTTGCTGCTCATTTTTGTGGTATGGCAGTGCTTATATAATTAAACTATTTTCATACTAGTTCAGTTTGGCTGTATATATCCTGTTTTGGTAATCTTGCTAGAGCAAGTTATAAATAAACTTTTTGTTTCGAATTAGATTTGCAGTCTTATTTAGTAAATCTATATATTAGCCACGGTTCCATATTGGATATAACAAGAATAAGCATCTGTAACTTAAATAAACTGGCATCTGAACACTGGTTAAGAGAGGGATGAAGATACTAAAAGAAGCAATTATTAGATTATATTCGCACTTATTCCCAGCTGCTGAGCTATGGTTTAGAAAGCCAAGCCATACATTATATATTATACAAATAACTACAGTCTAGTGAATCATCTCAGCATTCTTTTGTAAAGGCTCTTAGAAGACAACTTGTTGCATAAAACAGTGGTAAAAGTCAGACATTATTTTATTCATGGAAAGAGGTCCCGTTGCTTAACTTTTGCGTTTCCTCATCAATTTTCTCCTATAGAATCAATACAGATTTGAAGGAACAGGGTTTTCAACCATTCCTCAGCTTATAGAATATCATTATACAACAAAACACGTGATTACAAAGAAATCAGGCGTTATTCTGCTGAATCCTGTTGTTAAGGTATGTGTATTTAATACCTATGGTGAAAAACTGAATTTTGTTTTTTGTTTGCTGAGAGTAAGCTATATAGCATTGTGTATTTCACCTGTTTACATGAATACTTGATCTTTCCTGCCTATTTTGTTCCTAAACTCAAGTAAAACACTTATCTTTATTCTTTCAAAGAGTTATGTGAACTCAGATATATTCTTAGAAAGTTAAAATTTCAAGCAGACTGAATATGGTGCTTTACATTGAAGCATTTCTGGGCTCTCTTCTTCATTGAGGGTGGAGACTTGGATGCAACAGTGGAATAACCAGAGAGCGGATGGGGAATTATCTGGGATGAATTATGGGGAGCCAGTTTGGTAGGACAAAGATGTGGGAAGGAATCTGGATAGCAAGAGGAGAAGCCAGTCCCAGTTGTAGTTGCTAAACAAGAACTACCTGTAATATTAGTCCTCATTTTGAAAAAAAAAATTCTTCGGCTTTTACATAAGCTTTTGTAAAATGGATATTCTATTTTTCTCCACTTCCCATAAGTCAGGTTACCACATTTCTTCACAGTAATGTGTGTAAATGTATTCTTCCAAATAATAATATGTATTTATTATTAGACTATTAGAATATGAACACAGGCATGGTCAGGCCCTAAGTGAAGGAGGTGAGGATTTCTAGTAGCTATTTAAATTAGGTGGGAGTGGGTGGGGGTACATCATGGAAGAGGCTATTTGGGGGGCAACAATAGCTAAGATTAGTAATTTACCTTGTAGACTAAAGCTATACTTTATGAACATTACTCTAGTTTCAATAATAATAATGTCAGCTTTATCTTAAACTTTTTTTTCCATGCCATTCTTGTAATAAACTTTTAAAATAAGAAATGTTTGGTTTTTACAAGAGTGCCATGTCAGCTCTCTTAGTAATGGAACAGTCAACCTTTCTAATTCTACAATTTTCAGCTCTCTGTTTTTGAAGCTTTTCTTTTCAATGTTCTCTGTATTAATTCACCTAAGAATTAATCTAAAGCTTTGATTTATTGGCAGGAGTGCTATATTGTCAGCATTTTGCACAAAAATATTCTTTTGAAAATTATTACTTTTCTTGAAAAAGTGAAACTTCTGGAAATACTGTCAGGAAAGTTAATGATTTTTTTTTAGTGAAAGATTCTTGAACCTTATAATGAACTGATGAACTATGACTGGCAGGAACTATTTCAGCAATATGTGAACACATATTAACCATGACAGTTGGAAAAAATTAATAGATCTGGTTTTAGAAATAATCTGTAGACCAGTAAAATGCTATAAAAAATACTGAATCTGTTTTTTAATAATTTCCACCTATACAAATATTTAAGTATTTATTTTAAATGGATCTCCTTTTATAAAGTCTTTGAGTAGCTACAGGTACATTGTGATCATGCTCATAAAATCAGACTAATCAATTCATTTAACAATTAGAGTAAAAAGGAATTTCAAAATATTTCATTAGATTCTTTCATGTGATGCATACAACACGAAAACCTTCTTCTATATTAAGTACCACTTGATCAGTATTTGATTGCTTGTTTAAAATTCATGTGAGGTGAGTCCTTGGCATGAGTCCTTGGATATTTTAATTCTCCTTTCATACAAAATTATCCTATATGAATCCATTTATTAATTGGAATTTAAATTGAAGCATCACAATTGATGCTATGGAACAAACAAAATTATCTTCAGTTAGCTTATTGAATAAATGTTCAATTTCTCTTACTGTGTCATTGAAGTAACTATTAATAGTTATGGTCCAGTTACTCATGTTCACTGTATATCAAATCTGCAGGTTAGGAATCTTAATGGCAAAGAAATAGAATTTAAATTAGAAGTGCCAAAAGCATTAAAAAGTAATGCGTGAGTGATTTTTGGAGGAAAAAGAAGAAAACAAAGATTTCCTTTTATGCTTACACACAAAGTAATAATATTTAATTTGTTGTCAATTCAATAAATTATAATGAGTAGTGAAAATTTTGTAGCAGCCATATATGTTTGAAAAGATAATAGTAATATACATATATGCTTTTCTAAATACATTTTAAAAATAAATTTTATATGTGTGTGTGTGTGTGTGTGTGTGTGTGTGTGTATACACATTCATTCATTCATTCATTCATTCATTCATTCTGATACAATACAAGCAGCAGTAGAGGGATGTTTAGATTATTCTCTCTGTGTATGTATGTATGTGTGTGTATATATATCAACTACTGTATATTGAAAGTGCTACATTATAATAAAACAGAAAATTAATGAATAATAGCTGGCAATATTCTGTCAATAAAATTATTCAATTTAAACTTATTGAATGGGGATTTGCTTCCCTTTCCAGAAAAGCCAGTTATGCAGTCTGGATTTTTTCTGGGACTTTCTATGGAAATGCAGTGGCTGATGACTAGGAATGCCAGCTGCATTCCTACCTGTCAGGAGCAGGTGTGGCTCCTGTCACACATATCCTTGTTATATCTGGAGTAGATTAAAGATAGATTTAAAGGAGTTTGTTGCAATAAAGAAATTTAAGCTAATGTAGAATATTCATTAGAATGTAATGTAGGTGTTTCCAGAGGCAAGTATTTTAATCGTGATGTATTACATTTGTGTCAGGTCCATTGGCTTTCTGTTTACTCAAAACAGATTTAAAATGCTGGTTTAGAATTTTAAATCCTTGCATAATTTGGTATCATGTTACCTGAAGGACTATTTGAACTCATATTTTAGAAAATCTGTTGCATTCAAGTGGGGCATATTTTGCTATGTAGTTAGGCATAAGGGACCTGGTGGCACCATTTTTAGTATCTGTAAACTTAGAATTCCCTTTGATTGCCTTCTTTTGTTTTAAGGATAATAGCCCCCCCCCACCTGTTTTTAATACATATTAACGATTGAACTCATATCATCTGAGGCTTTTTTAACATTCATTTCATTTGAACCATCCTTATGGAATAGCTAAATTCTGCCTCCCCTTTTGGTCTCCAGTAAATTCCTGGACTGATTAATTTCCATTGTTGTAATTAATGGGATAGCCCTTTGAACTAATGGCCACATATGCTGTCAAATTTCTACTCCCCCCCCCCAAATTGTATTTCTGTTTCAAGTTGCCTGCTTGGATGCAGGGTCCTAAAAACAATGCATCTTTTTTTCGAGACTCACAAAGAAAACTGATTTAGGTGAGAAAATTGTCTCTGAAGTACGCTAGCCAGAAAGGCGTGTTGAATGTTCATCATAATTGACAGACACAGAAAGAACAAGACTGTACTTCAGATTCTCATCTAGTGGGGTTTCCCTGATGAAAAGTTTAAGCCTTTCTGTCTCTACATGGATTATCCAGAAACAGTTCAAGTGGACAAAGCAGCAACTGAATCCTAAAATTCCTCAATTGGGATAATGTTGGGCTCTATTTCTACACTGGGACATGGAACATTCATATTGGAGATGGCAAAGTCATAACTTTATGCAGTGATTTTGTTTTCATTAAGTATATACGCTCTGATATGCACTGCATTCACTGTGTTGAAGTTCAGTGACCAATTAAAAAAAATGTTCAGTAGGAAGAGCTCATAGTACCTGGTGAAGCTTAAACATTTTCCAAATTTGGAATTGCATAGCAATCTTTTTTCCCATTAAATGGATTTATAGAAGGAATAGCTTTTCCAATGTGTTTTTGATTCTTTGGCAGGTACTGTAGGAACGAACTGCACGAGATCTGCTCTACTTTCTAGCAGATGTATATGCTTGTGTTTTGCAGTCTCTTTGATAAACGTTCAAGTGAAGCATTCCCTTGAAGCTGTTTTTTTGAAGTAATACAGCTCCGGTCCTTCCACAGTAAAGTGAAAAAGGCTGCATTGCAATGCTTCATTTGCTCTGGCTACCCCCTGTTGAAACTGCTGATTGAAGCGTTGAGGTGATGCAAACACCTCACTCAGGCAAATCACATTGTCTCTTTACCTCCAGGAGGATTGTTGCAACATCCATTTGTCACAAAACACACCTCTGAGCCAAAGCCGAGCTACCACACACAGGCCTATGATGTGTTGTCTGCAAGGAGGGCAATGCTTTTGTCTTGTCACAGATCCCCCTCATGTAACCAAATATCTGTAACTCCTGAACGCTTAAATAAGAAGCTGACTTGGGGGTTTAGTGAATGGCCGTGGTTTGTTGAAGAAGTAAAGAAGAAAGACCAAACGATCTTTAATATACAAGTGCAACAAAAAAAGATGAGAGAGTTAAGAAAGGGTTGGAGGCCAATTATATATAAAAGGTTTTATATTGCCAGCCCTGCTTTGCAAGTAACTTCAAAGTTTTGAACCCCTTTATCTGAATTTGACAATTGCTTTGCAAATTATAGCATTATCTCCTCTGCAGGTTTAATACAGAATGAAAAAAAAAAGAACTTAGAAAGTAAAGAATGTTTCACTTAAAACATTTTAACCTGCCAGAGATGCTGTTCTATACTAGTATAGATAACATTGTTGCTATGTTCCCATTGATTATACAATTCAATACAGCTGAAGAATTGGGTACTTTGATGTGGAAATTTAAAATGGAATATATTGAAATGTTCATTTCAAGATAAATTGCCAAAGAGTAAGAGTTATCTGTGAAACAAAAGCATTTGTATCCATGAATTTAAAAGTATATACATACGTGCTATAAAGGAACGTTCATAGTATATGTCTTTCTCAAGTGCTAATTTGTGCATAGAATCCTACATGAAGTGAGCATGAAATGGAAGTGATTAAATTGGTGACGCGTGCACACACACACATATGAATATGAATGAAGTGACATCTACTCTAGCATTCTGTTCCCTGAGTGGTGTAACAGATGCTGATGGAGAGCACACAGGCAGAACACAAATTTAATAGTCATGTTCTTCATCAGCTTGTATCAAGAAGCTTAAGGTGAATGCTCTCGCAGATTGAACTTGAATCTTAGTGACTACATAGATATGTCTGCATAATTTCTTGACAAAAATGCAAAAGT